TCGTGCTGCTGCCCGGCCGCTGGCGTCGGGTGAAGCTTGGCTGGTTGGTCTGATGGGTGCGGTGTCCGCGTGCCAGCACGTGGGCAGAGGCGAGCGGGGACAGAGACGGCTGTCGTCGGCACAGAAGCGATGCGGGAGACTGGTGATGGCTTTGAGACGTCCGGGGGGAAATGAGTGAGGACCAAGACAGAATCCTTAGTGTGAGGAGGGGGCTCACTACCAACGGTGAGAACTTAGGCTTTAATCTGGAGACCTCCTAGTGCTTCGAAAAGGTCAAGAGCCAGGTTTGATTGATTGTCGTTCTGGAAGAGCTGGGTAGACAGAGGCGTTGTGTAAAGCAGGTAATAGCAAGCGGATTCTGTTTGAAACTCCTTCCCTGTGTGTGCTTTGTAACAGCCCCCACTCCCCAGCGAGCTCTTTGTGACGTTGACATGGTAATTTCAATTTTATGTTTGTCTTCTGGAGCATTTGACAAACACTTCATGTTTAAAGAACTTCTGTACATTTTAGGGTTCTTTTGCTGGGAATACTGGAACAGTTTTTTCTAAAACGTGAGGAGCAGGATATCACTGTTTTTCAGCTAGAGGAAGCTGGTTTCCTGGGCAGTGGGGGTTTTTAAGGCCCTCTTTTCTCGTAAAGTTGTTGGTTTTGATCTGTTTTATTTGGCAATCCTTCCTCAGTATTCAGGATTGTATTATAATCTAACTGCCTAGCAACTTTTGTTTAGTAATTGCATGAGAAACTGCTGTTACAATTGATCTTTAGTGAGATACTTGCAGTCTCCATAAAAAAGGCCAGAAGGCGATGATGATTTACTGGCTGTTTCTCGGTGCCTCCTCACAGTGCTTGTACGTTTTCTGTCATCTGCCCCGTGATTACCTGGACAGATAGGAGGAGACTTCAGTAGACAACCGTAAACTTAACCCGGTTAAGATGTTGTTTAAGCTCTCCTTCTTTTGCACGCCTCGTTTCATCCAACATCTGCCATTCAGTAGTTTCAGAGTCAACAGAGCTTTGGGGAAACACTAGTTTTCTTCTGTAGATCTTTTTGAAATAAGTATTCTATAGATTCACACCTGAAAGAGGTGTAGCCCCACGGAAGCCTAGGAAGGTGGGCAGTCACTGCTTTACTAACTTTCTGTGAGTATTTGAATGAGTAAGGGTGGGAGCTGTGGCTCGCTGTGCTTGAGAAGGGCTGTTTGTTAAATTTTGATAAATTTGTATGCAAGCTGTAATTCAGAAATCGGCTTAAAAATTGGAGGAGTAAAACTTGCATCCAGGTATGATAAATCTGTTCAATACTCTGACGCTGATGGTCATCACGAGCAAAGCCCTATAAGATTTTTAAGGTAAGAAGCAGATCAATCAGTAATACCGGGTACAAAGATGGCATAAACTTGATTAGCCTATTGCCTGGAGAGTGGAGTTGTCAATAGATTGGGCATAGTAGGAAAAGAATTTGCTTCGAACATGAAAGCAAGGGTGGGAACAAAAGAACAGGATTGACGGATTTTGTGGAAGGAAAATCATGTCAGCAAGTTAAAGAGTCTTTGTGTTAACCTTGCTTGTTAATCAAGATAATTCGCGTGAGCAGGGTATTTGAAGGAGATTACTCACAGCAAGATTAGCCATAGGAAATATATCAAGGCCTGGAGGAACTTTTGAAGCCAATTATGTGGATGACAGCCTCCTACAGCTGTGAGAATTGAACCTCAAAGGGAAAAATACAAAGTCTTGAAACATTGAAGATGTAGCCTTGTTAAAAACAAATACTTGTCTTGTCTGAGCCCTTCCAAGAAACTCATGAACAGCCCTTCCAAAAATCTCGCAAGTGGAGAAAATTGGAGCCGTTGTCTTATTCAGGTAGTGCATTTCTTGGCTAAAACCACTTGCTTGGTTCAGAATGGACTCAGGGTCATAGTGTGGTGTCTTTTCACGAGAGCCGTAGACGCGTCGGTGACTCAAGAAAGCATTTCTCTGCTCGGCTGAAAGGAGAAGCTGCAAATGCTTGGATCCAGAGAATTGTCATAATGAAAGAGGAGCTCCAGTTTTCCATTATGATCAGCGGCTTGGGTTGAAATTATTTTAGCTTGTGTTGTATTGTTAGTATTTGTGAATAACAATATTTTGTTATATTTGAAACTTA